TTAATTTATGTAGGTGCTCATTATATTTTAAGTAGTGGTTTTTTAATTTAATTATTTTTAATTAATGATAGTTTATTGTGAATTTTATGTTTGTAGGAATTTGTATACATTTTAGTTGAAGTAAACGTGCATGGAATAATTTTACATATCTGACACTAAGTATTTGTAATGGTTGCGGTATGAATTCGTTGGTGATGTATATAATGTAATAGATGATTTAGAGGTAAGTTTTTGGATATTTTATTTATTTTATATGTGGAATGTTCATATTGGAAAGGGAAATACTTTCTCGCGATCAGGTAATTTTCATATATGTTCCTTTTTTACCGGGTTAAAGATTTAGAAAATGTCATGTATATTCGTGAAAATTTTTCTAATTTATGAGAAAAAAGCAGTGTACATGGATATAGTGAAGAGTGTGCACAATGCCGTTTTTGTGCAATTCTGGGATTTTTTTTTTAAGTAAAAATAAGTCGGCGTGTACATGGTTTAGTGATATTTTAATTAAATGATAGTTATTTTGTGAATTTTATGTTTGTAGGAATTTGGTATACGTTTAAGTTGAAGTAAAACGTGCATGGAAATAATTTAAATATTTGACACTAAGTATTTGTAATGTTTGCGGTATGATTCGTTGGTGACGTTTATAATATAATAGATAATTGAGAGGTAAAAGTTTTGGATATTTTATTTATTTTTATGTGGAAATGTTCATATTTGGAAAGGGTATATACTTTTTCGCGATCAGGTAATTTCATATGTTCTTTTTACCGGGTTTTTAAAGATTTAGAAATTGTCATGCATTTTCGTGAAATTTTTTTAATTTATGAGAAAAAAGCGGTGTACATGGATATAGTGAAGAGTGTGCGCAATGCCATTTTTGTGCAATTCTGGGATGTTTTTTTAAGTGAAAATAAGTCGACGTGTACATGGTTTACGTGTATGTGTTATTTTGAAAAACGTGCAAGGAGTTTGCTATTGTGCACTTTTTCCCAATTTTGCAGTGAATATTTGTCATGATTAAGCAGTTTTGTTAGATAAAATTTCTAGCCTGAGTGTAATTTGGCTAGTAGATTGTTGGAAGAAGTGTTCAGTAGATAAAAAGAAAAGAAACATGTCTTTACTTCGTGAAGACAAAATGGCGGCGGGAAAAAAAAAATAGAGGGTTGCTGTAGGAGAGTTGGTCGCCAAATTTTCACCAAAAAATCGCCAAGTTACCATAATGTAAAGATCAACCAATGTTATTTTAAAATTCAGTTGTCAGACCTGAAACTTTTCTACGACATTTTCTATTTTTGCATTTCTTAAAACTTTCTGATACTTTTTTAAGATAAATATGTCACATAAAGATTGAATTTGAATCCTTTTAGGGCTTTTAATTTCTTTACTTCATGTTCATTGTTGTAAAGATTTTGCAAAAAATTTCTGTTATTTGTTTGTATAGCTTAGTGTTAATTAAATCCATTTTTACCTTAAATTAGCCTAGTTATAACATTAGTATTATTACTATTACAGTACAAAGTCCGAGATCCAGACTCGTCGGGACTTTGTCGATTCTGGATTGGGGATTTTTCTGGATATTAGATCATCAGTTTTAACCCCTTAACTGCCGCGGGCGTATATATATGCCTTGCTCAGCCGATGCGTTAACTGCCCCAGGCGTATATATACGTCCTTCCAAACTGCTATCATTTGCTTTGCACTGCTACACCTAAAATTATTCGCAAAGTTAACGCATCGGCTGCGCATCTGGGGCAGTTAACGCATCGGCTGAGCAAGGTGTATATATACGCCCGCGGCAGTTAAGGGGTTAATCTAGTAATATGGCATGCAGAAATTATAAAATTAAAAATATGAAACCATGATTTATGAAATAATGAACATTTATGATCTAAAGGGTATCAAAATTTACACACACACACACACACACACCACACAAAAAAAAAAAAAAAAAAAAAAAGCTTAATATTTATTTGTTTACTTTATCATAGATTTCTTTCAATGCAAGTTATTCAAGTTGCTTCAATTTTTTGTACTAATACTTTCTCTTTAATTCTGTAGACAACATTACATAACAACAAGACATAATTTCTTGTTTAGTTACATAATTGAAGTCCTGAAACTGCTGTGTGGATAATTCTGACTAACTTATGAATCGAAAGTTTTTTGTTTTCAGTAACCTCTTTGTCACTTTCTTCACTACGGACAGCGGTATTTTCTGGATCTAGAACCATACTACAGATTTTGCCATCCATTAAATGACTGATGATTGAGGAGCATTGTCATCACAATGAAAAACTTTTTTTATATCATCTTCATTTATTAACGCTTCTCCATATTTCTTTACAAAATCTGTTTACTGGAAAATTTCACCTTTGGTTTGCAATATCCAAAAATCTTTAAATATCGCGGTTATCATCATAAAATTTAGTTATCATTTTCACTATACATATTCAGCTCTATATTAGGAAATTGGCTATGATAATGGAAATTGGCATTAAATGACTGATGATTGAGGAGCATTGTCATCACAATGAAAAACTTTTTTTATATCATCTTCATTTATTAACGCTTCTCCATATTTCTTTACAAAATCTGTTTACTGGAAAATTTCACCTTTGGTTTGCAATATCCAAAAATCTTTAAATATCGCAGTTATCATCATAAAATTTAGTTATCATTTTCACTATACATATTCAGCTCTATATTAGGAAATTGGCAACTAAAGGCAAAGTTGTTCTGCTAAATTTTATGTTGCTTCTATTGCGCATTGAGGCAATTAAGGCTGAACTGTATTAGTTATTTATTATACTTATGTCTATTTCTTGCACATGCTTTAAGGCTTATCTGAGTCCTGAATAAATAAATTCCCACAAGTAAAGCTTATTGAGGGCTCACCCTAGATATCTTACTACCTGATGCAGTTTCTTTGGGTCTTAAATTCTGCCGCTTGGTGTGGCCATACGAGCCTTGGCGCTGGTTCTAGATTTATGCAAATAACAAATCATTTATTCTTAATTCAAATAGCACTAACTGTAATCTTTTGGCCCATAAGTATCATTCAGAAAATCTATTTTTAGCATATGAAAAGAAATTTTTGATAAATTTTTCCTGGTCAACATTTCTTAGTGCATTTATCTTAAATCTGTAATCATCGCCAAGTGTAATGTCAACATAAAAGGTTATCATACTCTTTATTATTCAATTACTAATATAAAAAATTGTTTAGACATGAGTCATTACTCAAGTTGTTATGTGTTGATAAACGTGGTGATGAAAGCAAAATATAATAAATAATGATTTGCCAGGTTGGCATCAGGAATATAAAATATTAGTAGGTGCAAAATCAATGATGTTATGAATGTAGAATATTTCTGTTTGAGATGTATTATGCCAAGCAGATACACAGCAACGGAACCAAATTATTGATTATATACAAAATTTATGCTAAATAAAATATCTCGTTGCTAAATAAAATATCTCGTTATGGAAGAAACAATTATTAAATAATTGTTTCTTCCATAACGAGATATTTTATTTAGCACCAAAGTGAATAAGAATCAGGACTTTCCACGTGTTTTGTTATGTGAAGGGGGGGGGATCAAATGTGCATGCGTCAAGCATACAAAAAAATTTTGTTAGTGGCTTTGAGATCTGGATTTTAGATCATTCCGGTTATTGGACATCTGGATCTCAAACTTTGTATTGTGTATGATTTTATCCATGTAAACCTTATATTTGGCAGAGGTAACATTATCTTAATTTTGCATTGTAGTAAAGTGAAATTGAGACAGAGAGCCTTTTAATCCAATCAGTCATCTTCATAATCATATTTATTCAGTAAAATATTTCACACTATAATGAATTAAAGTATCATGCTGTATCTTTTTCCTCCTTTTTTCTTGTCAGCATTCTCCTTACATAAAAATTAGAAATAAATTTCGTCTGTGTTAATTGAAGTTCAGAGTTCCAGTTTTCACAGTTGTCTGTTTTTCAATGTACAATATTAATTATAAATGTATTTTTTTAATTTAAGTATGAAATGTTTGATTATATTAATCACATAATCATCAGTACTTGCTGGGGAGGAAAGGAATTATAAATGTTATTTAGAATTTTAGCCCTGACTTTATTGCTTAATTTTCAGAGATGTTAGCATTCACTTCATATATATGTTCGGTGTAAGTTTAATTATGCAGAATGTCAATAAAAAATATTGAGACTAAGTCCTTATCTTTCCCTTGGGAAAATCTTGAGTGTTAATATGTTATCTATACTAAGTATTTAATTTTGGAGTAATTTCTGATTATCTACATACTTACAAAAGATCACCAACCCATTCATGACTTTGTGAATTGGCAAAAAACATTTGTTTGGTCATTTTTAAAGCTTGCAAATACTTTTTTGCTTCATAAATAATAAATACAAAAGGAAACATTTTATAAGAAGCAGTTTCAAACCAATTTCCATTTTGCATTCTAATTCTATGTTTGGTTATCTTTACAGCTCATGCGTACTCTTTTGTTCGTAAATTAAAAGGAAACATTTTATGTGACACAGTTTCATACCAATTTCTATTTCACAGTCTTATACTGTTGGCCAAAATATCATATTTATTAAGAAATGAAAGGCCTTTTTTCCCCATTTGATAAAAACTTCAGAGTCCCTTTACAATTTCTTTCGAACTAAGTGGAGAGGGGGTAGGAAAAGAAATAAAAACATTTCTTTGGGGGAGGAAAGTTAAATTTAAAGTATGTAAATCCATGTGTATTCAATCACTTGGCATGGTATATGCATGCATGAATTGGCTGTCGTCATCTATATATTCACACAGCTGTTATTACTGACTATTTAAACTGTGAGTGCATATAATTAAAGTATTGATTTTTGTTTATATTAACAATTGTACGTGTTAAAGAATTTAAATGGCAGTTGTTATTTATCCTGATTTTTATTAGTACTAATGTTTTTAATGCTATTTCTTTCAAATATTTGAAAAGGATGGTAAAGGACATTGTGTAATGCTTGGAGATTGTGCAGTTGATGATGACACTGGGCTTACACAACCATGCGTGTATGATGGAAATGCAGTCCCACTCCATGATACAGGTGCAATAGACTATTTAAAAGCTACCTGCCCAGATCTTGATACAGGTAATAATCATACATGCAGGAAATTTTCACTTACTATCATTTTTGTCATGGGTAATTTACTTAAAAGGCAGAGAAATAACTTATTAAATGACATGATATATCAATTAAATATAAAATAAAGATTATGCTTCCACTGCTAAGCTGAAATATCTTTTTGTATAAATACGCTGAATGAAACTTGTCTTAATGTGTAAATTTTACATATGATTTTAAATACAAATCTTTATATTTAAAATTGTACTTGTAATAAATTTATAAAAATAAAATTATAAATGTTTGATATCTAATTCCAGAGCTGATATAGTGCCATTATAATAGACATCCATGTAAACTACATTTACTCAAGATTTTTTTAAAAAATTTTCTAGCTTCATATTATATTTTTATAAGATATATCTCTTGCTATGAATACAATTCTCATAACCATACTTTAGCATAAATGATGGAGTGGCCAGTAAACTAGAGTTTTAGCATATTGGCTGTTGAGCCCCGCTGTGGGATTAGTGCATTGCTTGGTCTTGTACAGTGGCGTAGCAAGGGGGGACATATGTCCCCGGGTGCAGCATTCAAAGGGGCACCAAATTGATGTGAATAAATTGCAGAATGAAATGTTTTCCATTCTTGGCACACAGGAAAGGGGCATAAAATCTTCAGTTGTCCCCGGTCACTGAAAATCCTAGCTACGGCTCTGGTCTTGTGTTAAGTCCCCTGGACTATATGACTGTTACAAGATCATCGAGCAAGGTTTTAACCATATTGAATAGTGAACTCTCTCGTAAAGATTTCTGAGTTAACATCACCAGAAGATATAGTGATCTTTTTTAAGATTGGGCCACAAATATTTAGTGGTACTTGTGTATTATCGCAACCAACGAGGAAAAATTGCCGAAGCTTCTGAATGTACCAAACTCTGGTAACCATGCATACAACAGTGATTCAGACATTCATGAAACAGAATGTCATACACATGGCATTCTATTTCCAACATCATTTTCACATGCATTGTTTTTGTTGTTGTATCTTAAAATCAATTTTAAAATTTGTGAGTAGAAGAAAGAGAGATGAAATTTCTGCCGAAATTCATTATTTTGCCGCAAAATCTCTATAGGAACGAATATGAATTCCTCCTCAAAATGATGGTAACAAAATTTCCGTCGCAATAAAAACCTATCTGTAACTAGGCTTACTAATTATCTTTTGGAATAAGTATATAGTTGAAATGTTAAGTATACATGTAATGTATAATTTTTTACAATAAGAAAAATTTTTCTTTTTCTTCGTAAAATTTGCCAATTTGCACCAAAGTGATTGTAATAATGCACAAGTACCCATTTTGTCTTAGTTTAATTGAGATTTGTTTTCTGTGAATCCATATACATACTAACATCAGATTTTTGTTATATCACCCTCTCCCAGTTTTTAGTTTTTGAATTTTTTCATTTGATAACATATAAATACATCCTAAGAATGTGTAGTTAAGTATAGAATAGGTGCTTGTATTTTCCTCATATTTAAAATGAGTGTAAGGAAATTTCCTTTGAAACGTCCTCCACAATGTTATTTCACAACTTAGACAAGAAGTCTAAGTTGAGACTTGTATTGTTCATTCAGAATGTTCTGCAGTTTTTCAAATTGAAGCACATTTTCTTCTAATTATTTTATCACTGTGGATAAGGTGTGATTTTAATTGAAATGGATATATTTCTGCTTATGTTGCATAATTCTAGCTTGTGTTGTGGTATAATTTTTGTTCTTAGCAGTGCACTGCTAAGAACAAAGAACTCAAAAATCCATTTTCATCATATTATGCTGTTTTATTTTAAAAAAAGACATGTTGGTCAAACTGCTTGTAAAATTTAGGCCTTTTTAGGACAAGTTCTGTTTCTAGTAACAACAGTTTGGAGGTGGTTTAACCCTTTCCAGCACGCTACCTTTGAAAGATGGAATTTTGACCCCCGCACCCCCAGTTAAAAGTTAAAGTTAGGCAGTCTAATCAGGCCTAGAGGAGTATGCAAGTTAAATTTTTGTAAAGATAGCACTTTCTTAATTCTGTGGGCATGCCCTGAGCGGGCTCACTGAATGAGTAGAGCTTCGAAAAGAGTGTTGAAGCGAGCATTGCTAGGAAGCAGGTAATAGAATAACCAGTTTTGCCAACAATTAAAAAGCACTAGATTCTGAATATCGTAGCAGATTTAGCATTACCCAGGGTATGCCACGGGAACGCTTGCTTCTCTACCCCCCCCAAAAGCTCTTCTTGGTAATATGATGATTACATGCATATAAGTGAAAAAAAGTAACTGTATATGATATTTACATTATTTACATTTCATATTTAATTTTTTTTTTTTTTTTTTTTTTTTTTTTTTTTTTTTTGTGTGTGTGTGTGGTGGTGGTGGTACTTTTCAAAGAAAATGACACCACCTTTGAAAAAGCACAACACAACATTTCATATTTTGCATATGTACCGGGATCCGTATCAGATTCATTATCTCAAGGCAATTCGTGTAGCACTTTCAGTGCTTCAGAAATGGTCAGTCCTCTCTCTCATCCATTTGCAAAATAATTAAGAATCAGAAAAAAATGAATTAATAATATATCTACAATTAGAAAATTTAAACTGTAAAGTAAAATTAAATAAACATCTGCAACTCAAAACTATCAAGCGCTAACAAAACTTCTTTGAACGAAAGCCAAAGAGAAACAGAGAACTGCTCTAGTGAAAAACAGTGCAGCTATCTGATAAAGTTACCCCTAACCTTAAAAAAAAAAATCACCCCAACAGTTTCTTAGTTGGTAACCAAACCTCCCCTCGGAGGGGAGGGAAAAAAAAAAAACAGGAAATGAAACACAGGTGTAGACCTATCTTTCTATTGTGAATGAGCTCACCAGAGAGCTGAAGTGAAACAAAAATACAGCTGTTGGTCTGGTCCTAGTGTCTCTATTCACCTGTTCGATTTTAGGCAAGATTTCAAGGTAAAAATTGAAAACTAATATAGAATAAGGATAGAAAATAATATAGAATAATTAGCATATGGCCAAGAAAATAACATAGAAATTTCTTTTCAAACAATTCCTTTTATATACTAAAAAAATCTGCAAAATTTCTTTGAAAAATGTGGGGCTTTAAAAACTAAAGATGGCTAAGATATATGGACTGGTTTTTGTTGTGCTGCCATCTAGTATAAATAAAGAAGGTTTGGAGAAACCTATAGTAACATATAAATCCTTTTTCATTCAGTTTTTCTGTGTGTATAGAGGGAAACTGTTAGGTGTGTCCAGGCTGGGTACCCAGTGCCGCAAAGGGTTAAGAAGCTTAAATGCTGAAATTTCGGCCTCAAAGATGATGCCCGCTCTGAATTACCATCCCCTGTAAACAAGGACCTCTAAAAAGAAGCAAGCACTGAAATTCCACTTTTTGTAGTTCAGGAATTATCAAACAGACTAAATTCCAAAAAGAACAGTAGATGATCATTTAAATAAAATTGGGTATGTGAGCAACTACTATGTATAAGTACCCTGTAACTTTAACAGAGTAGAATATGCTTGTTCAAGTTTTGGCAGTGATTCTTTGCTGAAAAGAAATAAAGAAGTTCCTTTTTTTGAAATGCTTATTACTGGATATGAAAAGTGGATACTATACAATAACATTATAAGAAAAAGATCATGAAGCCAAAAGAATATCAAATTAGCATATCCCAAAAAAGTAATGCTTTATGTATACTCGGGACTACAAAGGAATTTTATACTATGAAATGGTTTTGATCAAATCAAATAATATATCCAGAAATATATTGCTTGTAAATAGCAATTTTAAAAACAGAAAAATTGGGGGGGGAAAAAAAAAAAAAAAAAAAAAAACTAGAATTGACCAGTCTTTGAAATGTTGTCTTTGATCATGGTCAGCCCCACATTTTGATAAATGTCAGACAACTTATTGAGTATGGTTGAGATGTTTGATGTCATATTCACTAGTCCTAGCATCCGTATTTCAGTCTCCTCAGCAAATTTAAAAATTCTCTTAAATGCTTCTTTAAAGACTCAAATTGCACTTTGAGAACTTCTTTAAGAATAAACCTGTTGTCTTTTTAAAAAAACGCAATTTTCTAGCTGCTGGCGAGATGGCAGAAATCATATAATGAAATGTTACTTATGTGATTCATTGGAATTAAGTGTTTTACCGCTTCATTTGTATTTTGCATAGAAAAGTCATAGAAATCTCAGATAACCTAAATGTATAATTTAATAATTAACCAGTCTTTTATTTATTTTCAGGTCCTGATTTTGCAGTCTGTTGTAGTACCAGTCAAGTTAATACCTTCCAAACACAACTTAACACTTTAGCTGCTTTATTTAAACGTTGTCCATCATGTTACCATAACATAGCAAATATTTTCTGTCAGTTGGTTTGTTCACCATCACAGAGTGAATTTCTTAAAGTAAGTGAGGGAAAAAATTACTGCAATTTTAGGAAAATTTTCTTAATGCTGTTGCTTTGATAACAGCATATTATGTGATAAACTGAAATTTTAAATTCTATGCCTATTTAAAAGGGATATAGAAATATATAATTAATGATAGCTTTTTTTTTTCCCTCATGCTAATTGTTAAATTTTCATTGCTTTCATAAAACAGTCATTTATTATTATTAATCTTGTAGCTTTAAATTGTATTTGTTTCTCACTTTTAATTTTAAATGCTGTATTTGCTCCAATATTTTCCTGCTTCCTCTATTGTATGTAGGTTTTCCCTCTGAGAGCTAGTTTATTGGTAAATTGTAGTCCCTTAATTATTTTTTTTTCAGTGTAATCAGTTTGTATTTGCATTTTTGTACTAGCATTTCATTAATTTTATTTTTTCCTGCATTTATTATTTGAAACATATTTTGTGCTGTTCTCTTGTTAAGCTACCTGCATGTGACAAGTGTTCATATATTTAAGAAACTTTCCAAACAGATGATTTTACCTTACATCTGATATTTACATTGTAACTCATTATAGCCTTAACTACTATTGATGTATTCGATCTTTTGAAATACAGGTCTTTTATTTTCCCTCTTCTCCTTGATTCCTCTAATATCTCTTTGATGAACTGCAGTTAAGACTCATTCTTGTGAGATGCACCGAGGGTTTTACTATGTAATTGAACCCAGTCACAATGAGTCCGGCTCAGTTACTGTCATATATAGGCTCACTATTTGCCAGATAATATAATATTCATATTACTATACATTCTTATTGGGATAAGTTTCTATTAAAGAAATATTATTATGATTGTTACAAGTAGTTTATCCATGGGCACTTTTCATTTGTTATATTTGTAATGTAACCGTATTCTTTGGAAATTAAATTACTTGCATAATTTTCCCATTTCGATTTTGGACAATAATAAAATTAATTACAAAAAGGGAAAAATTTGTGAAGAAATGTGGTAATACATGAGTATATAGTAGCATTCTGTGTAAATAGTTAGTATATTCAGGCAAGCAATCATCTATTTAGTATATTCATGCAAGAATGTACAAATGTCTTTCACATCCTGTAGGAATAATAACATTTGATATTCTCTATCATTCTATCATTGATGCCTTATAACATAAGTTTGATTTTGGCATCATTACTTGCATTATAAGAAATAAGTGCAATATGTAGATAATCTTTTATTTACTTTCTTCATTTAAAGTTTGTTAATTTTGTTTGATTTGAACATCGGTATGTGTATTTTTAGTAGTTAAAATGTATATGAGATACTTTTCTATTAATTGTATAACTAATTTATTTCAAAAATCAAACTTATTAGGTCACTAATAGTTCAAGCTTCAAGACCAAACAGTCTGTGACTGAAATGGATTACTACCTGACAGAAAGCTTTGCTCAAGGCCTCTTCAATTCATGCAAGAATGTACAAATGTCTTTCACATCCAATCCAGCTGTAGGAATAATGTGTGGAGGTCACCTGACTGACTGTAATGCTCATTACTGGTTGGAATATATGGGTGGTCATGATCCTTCTCCTTATCAAATAAATTTCCGTCTTGAAAAAACAGATAATATAACTGTAAATGGAACTGTTTTCCACCCTATGAACAAAACTATCATCCCATGTTCTCAAGCTGTTGGTCCAGGTGGCAGTGCATGTTCATGTGTAGATTGCCCGTGCAATCCTGAACCTCCACCTGAACCCAACCATGATCACAGAGAACTTTTTGGATTGCCTTTGTTAACAGCTGTCATGATTATAATATATCTCATTGTTGCACTTATAATCATTGGTGGATTTCTTTGGAGCAGTTGTTCTCAAAAGAAACATGGTAAGTTTACAATGTAATTATTATTATAATTTTTAAGCGTGCCATTTTATTTAAGTAGTTTTAGTCAGGCTAAACGATGGGTGCAGTGTATGCAGATTTTCATACAGAATGTTTGTGTGCCAACTACTATTGGCATTCCATCTGAAGAGGGTGGTTCCCCCCCTTTTAGATTAGTTTGTTACTTTTTTATTTCATATTCACACCACATTTCTTTTTAGTCTGAAATCTGGATGACCAATGCCTAGAGTCACCAAAATGTAAATAAATATAAAACAAAATAATATAAAAAGTATTCCCGGTAAAATCTAGAAATGGGGAACATAATACTCAACAGAAAGCAGGGATACCATGAATGTGATTTTCCTCCAGACTAACTGAGATTCCTGCATATCACTTTGAAACATCCTGCTGGCTAGGGTGTCAAATCATAACCAATAACAATACATTGACTGACGTTGTATTGATAAGATCACACTTTTGGCCTTTGAGTGGTTGTAGGGGGAGAGACAAGGTCAGCACTACCTGATGCAATCCCTGCTGGTCCAAAATTCTGGATCTTGGTAACTCGCCAAATTCTAAAAATTTTTCTGCCCATTACCTGTCATCCTCTCCTGGGTTTTTCTCCATCAAACTTGGGGTTAGAGCTGCACAGTTAATGAGGCGGAACTATACCTGCGCAACAAAGGGTAAAATTCCTGTGTCTTGCCTATTTATTCTTATACCTGCCCATTGACTTTCCTAAATTCTAAACATTTTGCATCCTTAATTTTTATCGCTCAGGTCTCCTTTAAATTCTAGATTTTTTTTTTTTTTTTTTTTTTTTTTTTGTAAATTTTTGTTGGAGGGTTAGCGTTTTTCTATCTGACCTTAAACAAAAAAGGAAGCCCCAGTGCTGCAATGGCAATACGTGTCATTTCATTCAATTTAGACTGATGATCTAAATTCCGTAAATATGTGAGATCTGGAATGACCAAGGTTCTGACAATTCTGGATTTCACACTTTTTTACTGTATTTAACAGATGAATTATTTAAAGTACATAACTGTTTAGAGTACAAGCTGACATAAGTTTGCCTTATCTTTTTGAAAATATAATTTTTTGGTTAATGATTATGTATTAATTTCTGAATGATAGGATTGGAACTGTCAGTCTTAATTTCGGATTTACAGCAGCTGAAGGCTATAAAATTTTCTGTATAGTATAAATTAATATCCCAAAATATCGTTGCAAATAATAAAGAATTAGTGTTTGAATTTCAGTCAAATCTGAATCAAAATTACATTTGAATCATTTAAGTTAATTTAAAATGTTATTTATAACTTTGTAGTTTGTTTTGAAACATACGTTTGACCCAAATTTAAAATTATAATGCAGATTGGCAGATTGTTTGCGTTCATGCTAGGGCTAAACCTAAAGAAAGGAGGGTTTGTATTATCGTTTGTTTCGGAAAATGGGTTTTTGTGATTTATGTTTACTGTTTTAATATGTAGGAAAATTCTGATAATTGAAAATTTAATATGCATGATAGCCAGATAGCATGATTGAAGGGAATGATACGTTTAACATGAGCACTTAATAGCTTACATAAATTAACAGAGCTGCAAGTTCTCCCAATAAAACTGCAAGACTTTTTTTTTTTTTTTCAAATATTTTCCAGTCTTTCAGTGAATTTTAAAATTTTCTCTTTCATAATTATCTGAATTTCAATAATCTCTTTTAAATGTAGAATCTAGAATAATTTTACATTAGATTTTATAGGAGAATAGTTTATGTATATAAGATAAAAAATATGTGAATCAAAATTATAATTTAAATTAACAACAACTCTTTAATTCTTCCTTTCTACTTTAAGATCATAATAACTTCTCTGGATTGTGTCATTTCTAGACCAGTCCATCTTCCATCTCCTGCATAACGCTGATGGCATAACTCTGAGAACTTAAACCAAAACCTTTCTCATAACAAACTGCCATATTGTATAAATGCGCAGTTAGCTTACAGTTCTGTTGCTGCTCGGAAGCTATTTCATTTCGCTTGTGCTTTGTCTTACTGCTAACTATGTTGTTATATAAAATGTGATACTCTATATAAAATTGTGGTGTGCATATTGCACCCATGACTGTGTGTAATAAAAAAATAAGGTTTCGATAATTAGTTTGTGTCCAGCAATAAAGATTATGCTCAATTCGGCTACGTCTTTCTTCAAATGTCTCCTTTGAGTGTCATCTTTCTAATTACGCAGGCTTGTGCTTTATCGTACTGCTAACTATATCGTTATTTAAAATGTGATACTCTATATAAAATCGGTGTGTATTGTGCCCATGATCATGTGTAATGAAAATATATGGACTTGATAATAAGTTCGTATCTAGCAATAAAGATTATGTGCTCAATTCAGCCACGTCTGTCTACAAGATCTCTCCTCCGAGTGTTATCTTTCTAATTATGCAGCAGTCTCTCCCAGTTTTTATTACAAATATATGTATTACAGAAACACAAAAAAATTGTATATATAAATATATAATCATTTTAAGTATTTTCATGCATTATGCATCTGAAAATTGATCAGTAAATACATAAAGAAATTTAGTAGTAATCTTTCACCAAGATCAAAAATTGGACACCAGTTAATTTCAATAAATCATTTAAATGTAGAATAAGAATTCTATAAATGTTAAAAAAATTGAAATAAACCATCACAAGAAAAACCAAAAATAAAGTAAAAAACAAAGAAGATGAAAGACTCAAATTAACTCTGATATAATGTTGTAGGAGGAGGATATATACTGAACTATATATATATATAATTAGAAGATAAATTTTAGTAAGCACGCCAATTTTGACATAAATTGATCTTTTTTCGTTTGTTCTTACAACCTTACTAATAATAATATATTCAGTATCTTAAAACCCTTTATAAGACAGTTGGAAGTATACTTGAACCAATTTCTACAAATTTCAAATGTCCATGCTAAGCTATTTTACCATATCTAATCAGTGTTCCAGTCTAGTAATAACTTCAGGAAATGCAATAACAGTGTCAGTGAATGCACTGACTACATCATATGGTTTTAACAGTAAAGGTTAGCCTGGGATAAAGCAGAGAGGACAACACTAGGAAGCCACTTTTTTCCAGTGCATAACCCATCATTCATTTGATCATTTCTCATCAGTTTTATTGGTGATTATAAACACAGAATTGATAAGCACATACATTCAAGTGTTTAACTATTTCTTTACAGTAAATAAAATCTTTTTATGGTTTTGGATATTTTACCTGCATTGAAAATCCCTAATTAGTTTTTAGTTCAATTATTTTTTACACTTATTATGTAAAATGTGTAGAAAATGCAAAAAATATACAGCAGAGGAAACTGTTGAATTATTTTTTGCCCTTCTGAGTGACCCTGAAGATTCAAAGTTCCAGATATGGGAACAGGTTAAAAATTTTCAGTTTGGAAAAACAGAAATTCTGATTTATCTGATCCATAGCATAGCCCTAGGAGAGATGCAAATAATCAATGCAATCAAGTGGATGTGAGCCAAAGAATTGATTCAATGTCTAGAATTATAGCAGATCAAAATTATTCTAATGATACTGAAGAGTGTAGTGTAGATGATGAACAAGAGAAGAGTCAGTCTAATGATGTACGGCATTTTTGCACCTGTGTTATTTCTATGGATAGAGAAGGAATTATTAATCTTAGTCTAACGCAAGGCAATATATTAAAGTACTTTTTCCCAAATATTAAATGAGGAAATTTTAGAGAACTTATTGTCAATAAAATAAATTTATGTTTCTCAAGTCAAAACATAAGTACAAACAGGTCACTCTCTAAATGAAACAACAAAAACCTGGGAGGGCATGCATGCTGAAGAATTACAAGCTTGGATTAGAAAGAACATAACTAATGGGATTATTGTGTTGCCTAGTCTCAAAAACTGTTGGAGTTATGATCATGTGTTAGATCAACAAATTATTTCACAATTTATGACATGCTAGCATTTCAGACAAAATAACATGTAAGAAAAATTACATGAGATTAGGCCTCTTAATGCACATCACAGTAAGAAAATGACAAGAGGTTACAATGTTGTGTTTAGCTTATTCAAAAACTGGATACATACAAAAGTTTCAGATTTGTTCTGGTAAAGCTAAAGATCAGATTACAACTGATACAGTGGGAAAATAAGTAGATTTTAACAGGATGTTTGAAAAGGCATAGAAGTTGTCATTTTATTTGTTGCTTTTATATTATAGTTAAACCAATGAAAATGTTACATCGAGACATTTATGTTCTGAGAACTGTAAGGACCAACCAAAAAGGAATTCTTGCACTGACGAAAGGAGAAATTGTTGAAGAGAAGAGAATTTGAACTCAAATGCAAAGAGGATATTGGAGCCATCAATTGGATGGCTAACAAACCAGTAACCATTCTTAAACAGTATATATCCCAAAATTCACAATAGCAGTCTCAGAGAAAAAATGATGAAACCAGTAGTCCATTGCTGTATTCAGTTGCTATTGCTGCATATAATAAGATTATGGAAGGTGTCGATCACTTTGCTGATCTCAATCGCCATATATATATGTAATATTATGAGTAGATAGGCACAGGAAATGATCAAGCTTAGCAATCTGGTCACAACAGAGTCCGTGTTTGGTCATGGTGGAGTGGAAAACCTCAGAATTGAAGGTCACAGAAGAATTTAAATTTTTAGCTCCATATTTTTATTCAATGCAAATGGCAGATCATTCAAGATGTGATATTAATTTAGACTGAATACGATTATTTCGTCATACTATTCAAACAAAGACAGACAGAGCGGCAGCAAAAAGGTGTTACAGCGGCAGGCGGAGAAAAACAATCTGACGAAAAATGGCGCTAGCTCCTCATTTATAGCACCAGTTGCGTAACATGCCCGAGTGTTCTCGAAAGTACTGCTCTAGGGGTAAGATCCAGAAATTGCAGAAAGTTACTTAGAGGTTGTCTGTTCA